TGTAGATACGCGATTTGCCCGGATATCTCAAGAAGTAAGCAATTTATCTGGGTAAGAAACAATTCTATTATTAATTAATATTTACACATCATTACTTAAACAATATTACACTTTTCTACCCCCAAATGAACACAATTTGTTCCCAATTCTGGAAGAATGTTTCCGTTTAGGTCCAAAATTGCACCTTTCCAGTCTGGACGTACATTTCACCCACCAGCGTATCAAATCCGATATGGCTGACGCTATAGTTAAGTATCAATTTAAACAACATAACACAGTTCAGTAGAAAACATAGAAACTCCGATAAAGGTGCAAAAAATAGAAACTATAATAAAATACAAATGTTAACATCCCAAAATGGGGTTAAACAGAGTACCAATATAATGAACAGAAAGAGACAGTAAGAACATATTACAATTATGTACATGGAGGGATTTTCCTAAAACAAAGCATTCAAAATGGATTCTACATGCAGGTGTACGGTTAGTGTTCTAATTTTAAAAAAGTATCTGCTGAGTCACTTTTCGGTTTTAAACATGAATAGTTTCTGTTATGCTTCTCGTCCTGTCCTCTTTATTTCTCTTTTTCAGCACAGTATTCCTATCCTTAAATATCTGTCTGGATATTTGCCGAAGACATGGGTAATTTACTCAGGGGCCTGTAAATATACTAAAAAGAATATCAAACAGATCTTAGCACACTTAACTCCTCAATTCTTGTTATATGCAGACCTGTCTCTACCTTTCATAGTTTCGCAGTCATTATCAGTTCGTCGTAACGCAAATGTCTCGCCTAGTCCAAGTCCAAAAAACGATAATTCTGGGAGAGAACGGTTCTGTATTTAATCAAAAAAGGGAATTCAGACAATTATCAAAACAATAAAACACCTTCGAGTTTCTAATCACAACAACAGGTTCCGTTACTGGAAGAATAAGTGCTTCCAGTCAGTTACTTCTAGAGTATAAAATCCAAATATGGCTGTAGCCATATTAAATATCAATTTTAAACAACACATATATAGTTCAGAAGGAAACATGGAAACTTCAATATAAGTACAAGATATAGAAATAATAACAATATAAAAATGATAAAATCTCAAACGAGATCAAATAAAGTACCAAAATATCGAACAGAAGAATCAGTCAGATCATAACACAAAGATATATATATATATATATATATATATATATATGGAGGGATTTTCCAAAAACAGAGCCTTCAAAATAGATTCTACAGTTATTCAGAATAAATTATTATTATCATGATAATCATTGTCATTGGCCTCATGCGGAGAGCATGGAAAATGGCAGGTTATGAGGAGCTCCTAACTTATTGTTAAGGTATTACGATCTCTTTTTCTGGTCAGAAGTCAGGTTTATCTCGGTTTTCTATTACTTGTAGAGAGTAGCAGGATGGAAGCTTACAACGTTGTCGTATTCCTTCAGGAATCTGGATCGGAGGTCACTCTTGCTAACAGACCTTTACGGGTTTGGATGCGCGGGAGTTTTTCAGATTTTTAGGACCTCAGACCCTCTATACTTGAACATCCGTAGGAATGCTCAGGTTATCAGAGTATAAACAGAGGTTTGTCCGATCAAGAGTAATTAGATCGAAGTTTCCTAGGCATTAATCTATCGTGTGAATATTATTGTGTGATGTAGGACTAGAAGATGGTAGTCGATATGACCTTCCATAACTTCAGCCAAGGCAATCATAAAGTTTTACTTACTAGGCTGTCTGAGAGCATGTTATTAAATTCAGTCTAATTCTGGTTGTACGTAAATGATCGAATCCCAATTAGCAACAAGTGCAACTGTTTAATTGAATATTTAATTACATTCGCATTTGAAGGATTTCATAGAAGTTCAGAAAACTTCATCACCATGAATAATGAGGCTCGTAGTTTCCTTATGATGACTAGAAGTACTTGAATTTGATAACTTAATTAGTAGTTTCAAGAACTGAACGACGCACATTCTGTTAGTCACCTACGAATCAGTAAGTAGGCCCAATCGATGCACTAGGAGGTGTCTTATTATGAATTGGAATCAGGAGTTAAGTAACGTGTCACACATGGTAACTTTAAAAAATGTTACGCTTTCCAAAGAATTAAACCAAGTGCCTGCATATTTAAAGCGATACTTAAACATAGTACCACTTTATTGTCTAGGGAATTTTCGAGTTACTCCTGATCTAGTGCTAAGAAAATTAAAATTCTCGAGTCCACGAAAGTCACCAGGACATGGCAATACACCCCACAGTCTTGAAACAGTGTGCAGAAGCCCTCCTTTCACCTATATGTGACGTGTTCAGGCCTTCACTGGATTCTCACTGATTCCCAGCTGAATGAAAAAAGCTTCCCTCTCTCCAGTATTCACAGGAGGATACAGGAATAACCCAACCTGTTACAGACCGGTTTCATCACTGCCAATACCATCGGAGGTGATGGAAGGGCTGGTCAATGAACAAATATGGGAGTACATGGATAGGAACAACATCTGTAGCTCAGGTGGATGATTGTGGTGGTGTTTGGTTCTCTGAGCTGGGTGTTTTGGTTGTGGAGCTTTCATTATTCTTCTGAACAACATCATCAGAGGAAGAATGAAAGCTCCACAACCAAAACACCCAGCTCAGAGAACCAAACACCACCACCAAAACAAGAACATCCTCCATGAAGCTGAACACAGATTTCGGAAATGCAAGTCGTGTGCAACCAATCTTCTCATAGTTCAGGACAGTTGGCAAATGCTAGTGAGACAGAAAAATACTAGTGCTCATAATATTTCTTGACTTCGGAAATGCCTTCGACACATTACCTAGCGCACTTTTAATTGCAAAGGTTGGGGAAATGGGCTTAACCGACCCACTCCTATCTTGGGTTTGAAACTACCGTGAGAACAGATAGTTTTGCACCAAGGCAAATAGAAAGCATGTGAGTTGACGAGTTTCAACATCGGAAGTTTTACAGGCGACCGACGCTCTTCCTGACATTCGTCGACGATCTGTTAAACAAAGTAAGTTCGGCGGCATTGATTTACGCAGACAATTCAAAGACCTGGAGGTCCCTAAGAAGCGAAGAGGACTCAACTGAGCTTCAAAAGGACCTTACATCTGTTGAGCAATGGGCAGTGGAAAACTGTTTAAAAATAAACCACTATAAATGTCACGTTATGCGGATTCTGCGCCAAGTGACGCTAACGAATTACAACCCCAGTAGATGTCCGCTCCCCAATCTCTCCTCAGAGCGCCACCTCGGTTTAATGACCGTTGGAAGCCTCGGCACCAATTCGAAAGTTATATATGGGACGCAGCTGAGGCTAATACAGCTCTTCATTCTATGCGAAAAAAACTTGGTGCTATTACCAAAGAATAAATCCTAACGTTGTTTAAGACAAATGCGTGCCCACACCATGAGGCTGACAACGTCGCCGCACCCCTTCTCTTTAAAAGGGACATAAATCTTTTGGATCGAGTACAGAGACGAGCAAAGAAAAGGGTGATAGGGTTTGTTACGTCCAGGTTTTTGCTCGTTGATCTTACGAAGCACTGTTGTCGTCTATTTGTAATTCACGGTCCCAAATTTCTATGCCAAGAACGAAACTCCAAAGTAGATACCAAAGTTTATTCCAAATCACAAATTCGACCAAAATATTTTATTACAAATAGACGACCAATGTCGTTCTAACAACAATAATTATAATAATTACAATTACCTTCTAATTTATTATCTCTTGGAGCAAAAAACTGCAACGAACAACAAAGAGAAACGGGAGTCTAATATGTCCGCAAATAATAATTCAAACAAGTTCATAAGTTAAGTAAAACAAATATACCCAAAAAACAGTGAAATTAATGATTATATATATAAAGGTTTGATCAGCAAAATGTCTTCGTTTCTCCCGTAACAGGGTTAAAGAATGAATATTATGAAGAAAGAACCGAGCATTTGGGATTATTTTCTCTGAGTTGCAGGAGAATCCGAGGTGATCTGATAATGACGTACAACATGTAAGACACACGTGAGCACCTTACCAAATCATCATCACCACGCCTCTCGAGGAAATTCTCGAAAAGTTGCGTATCTAAGAGCGAACACCGATGTTCGCACACGATTTTTCTCATTGCGAGTCTCTGTAACTTGGAATATTCTCACAGCCGATGTGGCCACAGCCGCCTCAGTCAACAGCTTTAAGAAGAGGCTTGATAAAGACGTACTCACATACAGGTTTTCATCTCCCTTATAAACCAACTGTCTGATTCATTTCTTGAGACGTTCTAGTTGTTATTTTTGCCTTCTCCTCAGGTCAGTAACCTAATCTGTCTCACTAATTGTCTCTATTTCCTTTACCAGGCTTACACTTCGGTCCTCTGGCACAATCTTCACTGCCAATCGATAAACTAAATTTTCTATTTATTTAATTAGTCATGAAATCTCATTAGTATGACAATTTCCTCACTGTTATTCTCCACATTTCAACTAACTGATCTCAAACCTGGTGATGCGATAGCTGCTGGTATCCAGAAACCCTACTGCCCTGAAACAAACGTGTTCATTCAAGTCAAGGTACATACAAACACACAACTGCCAAGTGACTGGGATTAGTGAGGTCGAGCAGCTGGACCCCTATTCACTGGACACTACCATATACCTGGAACCATACCGAAAGAACAATAATTGAGAGGAAAGAAATCAACTGGTTTATACTAGATTGTGTAAAAGATATTAGATATTGGAAAAATCCGTGAATGAGATCAGCTGATCTTTGTCTAACAACCATGTCCTACAACTCAGGTACAAAACACTAAAAATTCTGGTTGATCCACCAGGCTTGAGATTTTAAGTCGTTTGAGACTGAATTAGAAGTTTAGTAGCCAAAGTGCTCTTACGAATGAAGGTCCAGCTTGAACAACTCTCCCCAAGGTCATGTGAGTGGGGAGGCTGTTTTGACCCGATCCTGACTCTGTTTCCTTTATAACCCTCTATTTTGTACTCAGCATATATGTCAATGGGAGCGTTTGTTGTAACAGATGAGGAAAGACTCGGTCGGCTGAATGATGAAGCCAGAGCAAAGCAAAACAGAGAACTGCCCTTCTCACCAACAGGCAGCCATACATTTGAAAGATTTGCAAGAAAAGTATTCGCGACCGAGAAACCTTTTCAGCCTGGTTAGTGGTGTTTGTTACCTTCGTGAAAGTTTTATTGAAGGACCGGGACACCCCATGACCTACACTTCTGGTGGGAACTTTCTCCATCGCCCAGTCCTAGATGTCCCTGCTCTTCAGATGGGTGCATCGTGGTTTACATATCAGAATGTTTTTGTACCAAGATTTTGTCAAATCATGGAGCGTGACTTCTTCCGGTAATTATTTATCAAATATTTCTCAGCAATTAAAGCTGTCTTACAAGGGTTGGCCTTCAAAATACAGACAAACATTGTAAAATATACTGGGAAGACTTGCTCGAATGTCGAGACCATGATAAAGCTGTAAGTGAGTTTTTATATAATTATTTTTTTGTAGAAAAAGAGAGCTTATATGATGGAAAAGGTCAGAAAGATAAAGAAGATGGAGCCAATGTCCGCTTTGCCGTACAGCGCATATCACGATGCCAATTTCAGATGACTCTTTACTTTCCACGTGTATTTCCAGTGACACTTAGTTTTATCAATGTAGATCATCGTTTTCAATCTGTGACTAGTAAGGTTTGTTTGATTTTGACGTATGTCCATAGAACTGTAGTAGATCGCTTTCTTTTCTGTTTGTTCAACAATATATTACTCAGCTCTCAAAGTAGTCTGTTTTCAAGTTCTTGTCATCCAGCTAATAAAAAAACACTCAGTTTCAAAGCTGTTGGATCAACTAATAAGCAGTGATGATATGCTTTCAAACGACATGAAATATATAAGTAATCGGAGATTAAATTAGAATACTCGAATCTCCGAAACGGAATCTCGTTGGTAACTGGTCGGCTAAGTTTTGATTGTGGTTTTTTCGACCTTCAGAATGAATGAAGTGTCTTTCAGTTTCAGCACAATCAGTCGGTCAGTTACAACGTAGCACTTCCAACGTAAGTCCGTCATTTCAGGTTGCTATACCGCGTTAACACAGAGACGCAATCGTCAATTCAGATCCCATAGTGGTAGAGGTAGAAGCATTACTGGCAGTGGGCAAGATTAAGATTTGAAGATAATATTCAAGAAGTATAATTCAGTGAGATAAGCCTAGAAAGACAAGGGTAGAGGTGTTGACGAATCCTGAAGACTAGGATTTGATAAAACACAAAGAGTGGATGCACATGCGCCATTGCAAACGATTTTGAGCCATGTCATTCAGGGTCTCTAATTATCGGTGACTTTCGTCTCGCAGACCCCAACTAGGTAGCCCACATCTACCAACATGACTTTTTCGCTGGGTGATCACAGTCAAGTTTTAACACTACTAAAACTTGACTTCGATAGAAAAATCTATCCTGATGGTTAGTAGAATAGTTTTCGAATGGTTTGCAAATGGCCCACTTAGCACTAGAGTTCTGTTAACTAAGTAACTTTCCATCATTTGACTTTAACTGCAAACAGATACCTGTTACATAGTTACAATATCTATCCTACTATGAAATTGTTAAGGTAGAAGAACGAAAACTATTGTTGAACAAAACTACCGTTAGGCAACGCGAGCATATCGATCAGCGCATATAGGTAGTTCAATATTTACCTGGTAAACAGGATAAAATCTATTAATGTTGAATGTGTACAAATGGTTGGGATTTAAGGCTACTCATACTGTGAAACGACGCTTCTCCGTAGAGAACCTGAACCAGAAACTGGATTGATGTTGATGTCGCCATCAATCTGAGAGCGTGATCTCAGCTGAATAGACAACTGCTTACACTTTTTTAGTGTTGGCCCCATATTTTGTTATCCTAACTGGTATCAAAAAGAAAACGAGAATGTTCTGTTAGGAGAACATAATGAAACTATAGTCTTATTGTTCTTGAGAACGTTTTCTGCACGACATGAAATTTCTATTACTAAAATCGATCAATCGAATGCTAATCGATACACCGGAACAGTGACAGTTACTCACAACATTGCGTAATTAAATTAAGGCCCTCAATTCTTTAAAAATCAACTATAAGACCATATCAACACAAGTAAGATTTCTAGCAGTTCATGTTGCCATACCACATTAGCACAGAGATGTAATTGTCAATACATATCCTATAGTAGCAGAGGTAGTAGAGGTATGAACAGCAATCGGAAAGATTAGGGATTGAAGATATTATTCAAGAAGTAGAATCCAGTGAAATAAACTTAAAAAGAAAAAGATAAAGTGATCAGGAATTAAAAAGTTTAGGATTTGATAAAACACAAAGAGTGGATGCACATGCGCCATTGCAAACGATTTTGAGCCATGTCATTCAGGGTCTCTAATTATCGGTGACTTTCGTCTCGCAGACCCCAACTAGGTAGCCCACATCTACCAACATGACTCAGTCCACTTGTCAGTGACTTCATGGATTTCTGACATGTTTTGGTCAGGTCGCCCCTAACTTTCGTCCAGCCTAAACCTACACCACAAAACATAGCTCGTCGAGGAAGTCGGTGGTTAGCTATACGTACCACATTTTTCAACCACCTCAACTGATGAAGGTTCAATGCTTCATCCTTACCTAGTACTGGTTTCCTAATGGCAGCATTGCTTACTCAGGTGTCCCAGGATACACGAGCAATGCTTCTAAGACATCTGTGATCGAATACTAGTAACCTACGAATATCTTCTGCTCTTAACGGCCATGATTCTCAGCCATAAATCAGAACGGAACAAAGTGCTGCACAGTTCACCGGACCTTTGGTTAGCAAACGGATATCTCGCCTACACTATAAATGACGTAAATTGACAAAAGCCAATCGAGCCTTCTGTAACCATACTCACATTTCGTCAGTCACCAGGCCATCGGCACTGATGAGACTCCTCAGATAAGTGAAGTGATCAACACGCTATACTGCTTCACTCCCTATGCCGACGCAAGCCAATCTTGAAGGAACACTGCATTTCGAGGGTGAGAACTGCATCCCGAACATGCTTGCCTTGTTGCTTGGGGTAGTCAGAAAACTGCATTTTGTCAACGTTTTCACCGAATAGAATGGAGAGAGTGGAAAGCCCCGATGGACACCACTTGAAGTAAAGAATTCCGGTGACAGTTTGCCATAAGCTCTCACTCGACCAGTGGTGTTCGAGTAGAGAGCTTGTATAAGGTTAATGTACTTCTTTGGTACACGTTCCAATGACAGACACTGCCACAGAACCTCACGATCCACTGAGTCAAATGCCGCCTTAAGGTCCAGGAAGACAACTATTGTCGGACTCCTAAATGTGTGTCTGTGTTGTAGCACCTGTCGTTATATTGTGAAAATGTGGTCTATACAGCCACGTACAGGCCGAAAACCAGCCTGGTTTTCTCGAGTCTGCTCTTCACGAGCTCTAGTTAGACGTCTAAGTATAATCGGGGCTAACAATTTAGAAACTATATTAGTTAGACTGATTCCCCTGTGATTGTCACAAGAAGACTTTTGTCCTTTCTTATAAATTGGAACAATCAGTGATTGAGACCAGTGGGATGGGATTATGTCCAGTTCCCAGATTCTACCAAGATCTCAGTCAATCTAGCTGTTAAAACTGGACCATCATCCTTAAAAATGTTAGGCATCAATGTATCAGGTCTTGCTGCTCTCCCTTGCTGTAGATTTCTTATCGCTTTCTCAGCTTCACGAAGACCGATTTCCTTTATAAAGCGCAAAAGTTTTCTATTATTGCCAATTGCCGCTGCCTTTTCCATCGCTTTTACTTTCGTCACCCACCACTATCCACGGTCGTTGTGTAGGGTTTTCATCAGCCTGCGCTTAAGCTGACTTCGCTCTTCATCATGTTAAGAGCCAGGTGGGATGAGTTTTCGAGCCTCTATGAGTTCGGTGGATGCTACTGAGATCCACAGCTTCATCCTAGGCTTATGGCTTAGGTTATTAGAAGATATCGCTTCTGTTTTCACAGCCTTTTTGATATCGTTCCAAGCTTCCTCCGGATGGGGATCACTTACATGGTTGCCTAACTCTCTATTTGTTCCTGGAATATGTTCTTAGCCTCATTATCATTAAGTAGAACCCTGAGAGGTTTTCGTGCGGTGTCTTTCCTACGTCCTGTAAGCCTCAAGCAAATACATGATCTGTATCCAAACATGTGCCCCGGAACGAGCGACAGTCTTCTATCGAACCTCTCCATCTGTGGCTGTTGGCGATGTGATCTAGTTGGGTCCAACGTTTTGAAGACCTTGGGGGTCGCCAGATCAACAGATGTTTTTCCTTATGCCCGAAGTTAGTGTTTGCTAGAAATAGGCGGTTACCTGAGCATAGTTGCAACACACGGTCGCCATTATCTGTTCTTTGAACGGTGACACCATAAGATCCACCCAGGTGCCTTTTTCACTCAGTCCACCTACTTGAGCAATAAAGTCACCAGCCATTATTACTATATCATAGTACCTATCTTTTTGGAGGAGGTCCGAAAGCTTTCTGTAAAACTCATCTTTCACATCGTCTGAACTGCAGTCAGTGGGGGCATAGACAGATACGACGGAAAGGCAACAGCGAATGTCCCTATCTTTACGAGTCGTTACTGTCCGGTTCAGTCGGACAGCGCACAAGCGACTATCCACTGGGATCCAGTCAAGGAGAGATTGTTCAGCTCTACGACTCAATGCTATACCTACGCCAGCAAGACCCCTGGACGCAGCATCAGGGCTTGCAGATACACGAAGAGTAAATCGAGCTGCTTCTTTATCTTGACAAGGTGAAATCAGATTAATAATTTTAATAGGATCCTGTATGCACTTTTCCGAGACGCAGCATACATCGATGGCACGTGATTCTAAAGTCCTAGCTAATGATGCCCGTTGCCCTATTTGACATAATGTCCGTACATTAAATGCCCCAGCATGTGGTTTAGAACGGGGTTTCAGGAGACCAGGCATAGCGTTTCGAGAACTCGAGTCGTTTGCAGCAGAGTTGCGGGCTGATAAAGGAATGTGAGAAGAGCTAGTCGTGAAGATAAGAGAGATAATGTGGGGTGTAGGAAGGATTTGATTATGACCGATTCGGTCTCGTGCTCTGTTTTTGGTATGAGGGCGGTTGTCAGGCTGCCCACATCGTGGAAGAGTGTTTCTTGAGGAACCTGAAGAATAAGTTGGATTATTGTTGGTCTCAGAGACCTGGGAGCGTGACCGCAGAGTCCAAGGGACAACTGCTTGAAGCCGGTCACGCACGGCCATTTTATTGGAAGCTTTTAGTGTTAGCTCCGCTCTTGTTTAATGGGACCTACCATCGGAGACGGAATCCATGATGTGATATGAGGTGTGACATTTTTAGGATCGACCTTTTCTAACCCTTCCTTCCTTGTATGAAGGCAGCGACGTTTAAGATGCTGTTTGTCCGAGGGAAACACCTTACTACTGTCACACCCCTCTGCATTCAGCAGTACGACTTCGCCCTCAGGCCTAGAGTAGCTGGTTTTAGTTTCATCGTTCTCCAAATGACCTGCCTGGCATGTTAGAACCTTCAGGAACTTGTGTTCCAGCCAACATAGCTCAGTTGGGTTATCACGATAGGCAAGCCCGACCACCACGTCAAGGTAATAGCTTTGGTTGGGACAGTTTCAGCACTGGGGAAACTTAATGTACTGATAAAACCGTATGCTCTAAAATGCAGTATATATTGATTTTTGAACTTAACGGGCATCATTTGTTGGTGGAGGTAGAGTTGTACTTACTGATGCGTGTTTCTTGATGCCATAATTTATAGGGTTGAGTTACGTATAACACGGCACCGTATCATGAAATTATTGATCGCTAGACTGAGCCATGTTGGTAGGTGCAG